GTGAATTTATATAATTATATAAATGTGTGAAATTTTAAATTAAAAAAAAATTTTTTTGCGTTTTATATACATTATTACTTAATCCGTTAACAGTCCATGCCGTAATATTATCAGGGTGGCCACAGTTCCTCTAAAATCCTCTAAAGTCCTCTTTTTTTAAAAATCTCGTCTAAAGTCCTCTATTATCCTCTAAAAAGTTGAAAATGTGATCAACTCTCCTCTATAACTCCTCTTTTTTTTTTTTTTTTTTTTGAAGTTAACTCAATTTTTAGAAATATTAAAAATAAATAAATTTTTATTAAAAAATAAAGTTTCGATTAGCAGATTTTTATTTTAGTTACAGTATTAATGTTTATATTAGTTACAGTAATACATTTTTGAAAAGGTTTTCTTATTCTTACAACAATTTTAAAGAGTTTATATTGTAGAAATTGATTTGAATGTAGTTATTTTCTAGTATGTCTACCATAAAGAATTTATTTGTTTTGTTTTGGAAAATTATAAATAATGCCAAAGTATAAAAGTAAATTTCAAGACTTGTGGCTCATTGAAAAGGAGTTCAAATGCTGGTTGCAAAAAGATAAAAGAGATGAGACAAGTGCATTTTGTAAAGTTTGTTCGAAGTCTTTTAGCATTGCAAATAGTGGAATAGAAAATATAAAGTAGCATTATAAAGGGAAGAAACATGTGGAAAGATATCCATCTAATAAAATTTAAATATTCTTACCGTTCTTCAGAATCAAAAAGTAAGCTGTTTTGCTCCATGTTTCCAGACAGTAAAATTGCTCAAAGTTTCATTTGTTGAAAAACAAAATGCAGTGACATTTCATGTCATGGTGTTGCCCCTTTTGTTAAAGAAACAATGCTAAACGAATTGAACAAAGTTCCTTATTATACCACATTATTTGATGAATCTTATAACAAAATTTCTAAAAAAAGTCAAATGGATTTACATGTTCGTTTTTGGGATGACACAGAAAATAAAGTAAAAACATCTTATTGGAGTTCTGAGTTCTTGGGTAAAGCATCTGCTGGTGATGTTTTTTCAAAATATAATAATTGTTTAAGTTCTTTGGATCGTAGTAAGTCCTCCAAGTTTCTTCTGACGGGCCTGATGTAAATTTAGCCTTTTTAAATCTGGTAAATGAGAGTAGAAAAGAAGATTTATTTGATCTTTTAATTAATATCGGAACATGTAGTTTTCATACCCTTCATCATTCTTTCCAAACTGGGTAAATGGCTACTGACTGGAATATTAAGAAACTACTATTTTCTCTGTATAAAATATTTGATTAGTCTCCTTCTCGCCAAGCTGACTATAAATGTCTAACAGCTGCTACTTTTTCCGATTACCCTCTTAAATTCTGTGCACACAGATAGATTGAAAATAGTTTCCGAACGTGCCCAAATGATTTGACCTAAGATAATTGAAGTTGTAAAGTTTTGGAAAGGCTTACCAAAATCGAAGCAACCTGGAAACGGAAAGCCTGGACAAAACACCAGTTTTGATTGTCTTGCTAAAGCTGTGGAAGATGTCACTATACCAATTAAACTTAGATTTTTTAAGGAAATCGCATCATCATTAAATGATTTCCTAATTATTTTTCAAACCGACAATCCAATGGTGCCATTTCTTACCGAGTTACTAGACAATGTCTTTCGTCATTTATGCAGCCGCAAAAAAGCAAACTCTGTATATAAAAAAAAAGAAAAAGCAAACTCTGTATATAAAAAAAGAAAAAGCAAACTCTGTATATAAGCTGCTCAAAGTTAACTTTACTGATAAAGTTAATCAAGTGTTATTGGAGTCTGTTGATCTTGGTTTTGCTATAAAACATGATATCGGAATTTTGAAACAAAATGGAAAGTTAAGCGATAGTCATTTAAGCAATCTTCAGTATGGCGCTTTACAATTCTTGTCTAGTTTATGTATGCATTTTACAGAAAAAAGTGAATTGAAAAATAATCTTGTTTGTCTCCTAAAGTTATGTTGGAACCGGCAGCGTTATCAACAGCTTTATTAGGCAAAATGCTTGAAATCCTTGTTGGTTTGAAAAACTGACTTTTGAAACTGCAATGAAAACCAAACAAGAGTATTCAAAATTTTTGTCAAATTTTGTTAAGGCTAACACAGAACTATTCAAAGAATTTGAAGAATCTAAAGATCGCTTGAACTCATTTCTCTGAAAACACATTGGTTCAGATCCTAACTATAAATCCCTTTGGTCTGTTGCCCAAATTGTTTTAGTTCTATTTCACGGTCAGTCAACTGTTGAGCGAGGATTTACTGAAAACAAAATGCTTCTTGTTAAAAATCTTGAAATGGGAAGTCTTATTTCTCAACGATTAATATTGGACTAGATGAAACAAAAAAATTTTGAGCCTTACAGTTTTCCCATGTCAAAGAATTTCATATGTGAAATCTTCTCGTCAAAAATATCAACAATAACTTGTTCATAAATCTAAAATCAAATTGAGCAAGGAGAAGAATGAAAAAGAGATTGAGATTGCTTTAGAAATTCAGGAAATAAATATTAAGGTTGTCTCTTTGGAAAAAACTATTATCCAGCTTCCTCAAATACAAAGTTACCAGATGCTGATAACTTTGTATTTGAGGCAGAAAAAAAGAATGATATAACTATCTTATCCAAATCTAATGCCTTGAAAAGAGCTGCAATTGACAAAGAGAGTATTCTCTGTGAATTGAAATGCAAAAAAGCGAAGCTGGTAGAACTTAAGGAATGACTTCGTTAATAAAAAACATAAATTTTTATTTCATGTAATCAAATTTTATTTATTGATTTTAGTATAATGTTAGGAATACCTAAAACTGGTCTGCAAAACTGGTTAATGCCATGAAGGCATGGGTTGGGTTGTAAAAATTGCCTAAGCAATCTAAGTCATTTAACTTAATAAATCGCATTATAAAAGTCTTTCAGAGCCACCCAAGTGACAAAACATGGATGTTATACCTATATAAAAATCTCCTCTAAAATCCTCTATTTTTATTAAAAATTTTATAGTTTCGCGATTAAAAACCTCTAAAATTGATGCAAAATCTCCTCTAATATCTTGTTTTTTTTTATGAAAATTTTGTTTGGCCACCCTGGTTATGCAAACTAAAACTAAGACATGGACATTTAGAAGTGGTTTCTAAATGTAAAAATTTTTTTCACTTTAAATTTTTTTAAAATAAAATTATTATTGATAAAACAAGCATTTTTTTGTTGCTTTTTTTTTGAGTCCAAGGTTGATATAGTTTATAAAAAAAAAGTTCAAAAATATTATGATCCGTCTAGGATTTAAAATCCAAAAAGGAACCTCAAGATCTCATCAAAATCAAAAAATATTTTTTTACTTTTATCTTATAATTATTAGACATCGATTCGTGTCTCAGGAATATTGATTTTTAAACTTTTTTTTTTTTGCTATGAAAATCGATCCACCCTATTCATCAGTAATTATACGTCTACTTGTCACAAAAGTTATTATTAGATAACTACAGAGCTTTTGTTTCAATAATTGTCTTTTAAACGTGTTTAATTTAATTTTAAATATGACAAATAAGGAAGTTTTTTGAGTGCAAAAATAATTATCAAAAAGTAAACATTTACTCACGAAAAAATAGAATTTTATGCATTTGATGAATCAATAATGAAAAGATATATTTAATGAATGATTGTTGGAAATGATAATAAAAGAATAATGCTCAAAGATGGCGTGCAGTATGTTACCAACACAATATTCAAAAAGGTTCAGGGTATGAATGTGTTGAATGTGATGTAGGACTTTTTGAAGCTCTTTGCTTTTTACAATTATTAAACAAAAAGTGAATATTAGTGAATGCATTTTTAAAATCTTATGTTCATGTAGTATGATTTATATATTTTTAAACTTGAATAAAAACAACTTGTAGTATTTAATAGTAAAAGTTAGTAGTAGTTAAAAATAGTAGAAAACATTTTTTTATTCTATCCTTCGGGTCGGAGTCGCGTCACGAATATCGAGAAAATGGGCTACCATTATGGATTAGGGAAAACAAAGAATTTTATTGAATCAGGAACATAAATGAATGAATAATACCTTGAAGTTGCTGAGTTTTTTTCTTGTTTCAAATAATAAAAATTCAGAGTTAAGATTTTGCATACTTTCATATGAAGATATTTGAATGAAAGTATGGTTAAAAGTAATAAATGGAGTATATTGTTGTAAAAATGGAGTAGTTTAACTACTCTATTTTTGTCAACATGCACACGATTTATTACCTTTAACCATGCTTTTCTTCTAATATCTTCGTATGGAAGTGTGTAAAATCCTAACTCAGTGAGTTATAATTATTTTTATTATTGTTATTATTACTATTATTATTATTGTTATTATTAGTATTGCTATTATTGTTATTATTAGTATTGTTATTATTGTTATTGTTAGTGTTGTTATTACTGTTATTATTATTATTATGCAGACATAATGTTACTTTGTTTTTGGAGTATTATTTGTTACTTTTGAAATGCTTACTTATATATGTAACATCAGTAAGACTACAGCAATTAGCTATTTGGAAGTGGATTAATATGTATTTAAAACTAAAGTTTCTGATAAAAATGCAAGTCAGAACTGATATTTATAAAACATTAACACCTGTTTTCAAGACAAAGTTTCCTACACTAACATGCATAATTGCTTTAAAATCTTTATAGAATCTTATTAGCAAGAGCAAAATGTTACAGTCAGTACAAAAAACATATTACAGCATATAACAAAAAGTAATACTACTCAAAAAATTACATGTTGGAAATTTATTGGCTGACAACTTTTATCAATTACTGCTTTTGGTCCACGAAGTAACTGTTGAGAAAAACTCATGAACAGTGAAACTATGAAGGTCCATTGCAAGTTCATTACCTTTATCTTGCTGGAAATTTCTTAAGATTTTGAAGTAAATCTTTATGATTTTATTTTTGAAATAGTTACAGATAGGCAAGAGTAAAGAAAAAGCA